ACAAACTCCCTTCAGACTAACTGTCAATCAAATTGACATAGTCGGGATGTTTGAGAAAAGAAGTTCTTGTGCGTGTCCCTCAAGCTATGTCTCATCACTATCTATATACATCACATCACCCAAACTCCGATCTCACCCTTTGTCCTTGATCTAGACTACTTCACTTTTGAATTCTTTGAAAATATCGTCTCCCTTCCCGACTTTCCACTAACTCCAATACGTAACTCAAGTGAATACTACCCTAAAAATTCATCAGAATAATTAATCATAAATTCACTGAGATGTAACCCAAACAAAGGAAATTCTACTCAACACTAACAAAGATCTTCGGATCAATATTTCAGAAAAATTTCCAGAAAAGCTATTGCTAACAAGGCTCCTCATTGCCTACATTCTCGCTGCATGCTCAGGACATGGCGACTTTGCCAACTACCATGAAAGTTTTAACCGTGCAAACATAGTTATTTACTGTAATTGCATTGAGCGCAGCACTCCCTGTTGTGGATACCACGGATCAGCTCCGATTGAGTCTTATTGAGCTTCCACTATCGCCGCACTTGGACACTCGGGCGCAGGAAGCTAGGTGAGATAAGGGCACTGACAGCACAGCTGAGGACCTAATCACTCTAGCAACATCCCTACGTCCGAGCGTTGCCTGGTAGACTGATGCGTCTAGAACGAGGTACACATCACTCTGATGGCTACCGAGGGGCAACAGCATACAATGTGACAATAGTATGTAGCTCTGTAATCCCAGAAGGTCCACACTAGCAACCAGTATCAATAGTATGTTAGGTCAGGAGATATTGGTAGTGGCTATGGAAGTGGTTACTGTGAGAGGAGTATGAAGCACCTATGATGAGTGCGTGATCAGGACTGGGGGTTGAATGTGTATATAAGGAAGCAATACTTCCGGAGATAGATAGATAACCATCTTACCACTATCCATTCCAACGCATCTGCGCATTACAGCTATATTAATTATATCCGCATATCCATAATCATCTGCATCCATTTCAGGTATTCCTCTGTCTTCTCATGACCTCGTTTTTATAACACTCCCAGCTACCAGTTAGAGGGCAGACTGCTACTTTTGAGACTTCCCAAAGCGTCCAGAGCCTACTCAGATGCCAGCACCACTTTCCCAGGCTCGGCAAAATCATCAAATGGCTATAGAAATCAAAATTTTCACAGAAATCTACCCCAAATTTCCACTTGTGAGACCCGAGTTATCTAGTTAAACCGTTCGACCTAACCCTTACAAATTTTAAGAAAGTTACTTCAGTGCTCCTGCAAACACGAGGTATGTAACGAGGGGCATAGGGCATCGCCATAACAAATTGGTGGTAATCTGCGTCGTAATTATCAGATTTCTCCCAAGATAGAGTATTGAGCGGCCGCTCAAAGGCTTCATAAGCTGCATAGTTTACCTACGACCCTATTTTTTTGTTTGGGAAAGAGCCGCTCTCAGCCGACCAGAGCAGCAAATCATGTACGCAATACGGTGTATTTGGCGAGACTCAGGCCCCAGCCAACTTCAACTGGACATTTGAAAGATTAAAAAATAACAAATATGAATACTCTCTGCAGCCTCAATGACTGAAGGGAGTTTATTCCCTTGATAAAGTCGATGCTAGCATCTTATCAAGCAATATCATGAATATACATTTTTCTGTGATAATGAAGAATATAATTAAGTAACATGTGAGATGATCAACCAGTACAAATGTAGAAGTATTAGAAGACTCAAAGTCCACAACGTTCATAATGGTAAAATCAACTAAATCTAAAAGACATTGGACATACTAAATCTGAGAGGTACTGTGATAGAAAAGAGTTGGTAATAAATAGATTGATGGAAATATCGCGCTATGAAAGGGGCGCTGTTCTTGTGCGACGAAAGTAGAGGTTGACTAAGAGAGTGTTAGGTTCAGATAACGGCTAAAAGTGCGGGAAGTGTGCGCTACAAGTACAAGTGTAAGCGACACTTAGCCTAGGAGGGCAAGACTAAACACCTGTACGCGGAGTCCTCTACAAACCTGGTAGTGAAATATTCTCCCAGAGCCAAGTTCAGTCAATTTTCGAAATACCGATGAAGTTGGCCTACGAGGCAATGATTTAATGTACTCCGCCACGTCAATTTTTCACTCCCAACGAGTTCGACTCTTATCTTCGTCTCATCAAGTCTACAAGTACGACCTAGTACATCCTCATCCCAATGATTACAGCTATCGACTTTCTCTGGCCTCAGCTGGTCACCAGATACACGCCCACGCCGATATTTATACCCGACAGAGGAAGCAAAGCGTGGCGCACAAATATGGGAGAGAGCTATTTGGGAAGGACGTGAGAGGGATCAGGACAAGTTAAAAAGATGATGCGAAGGAAGGATATAACCTCGAAGGGCGTCAAATTCCGAATTCGTCTAGGGGTTTTACGAATCGAGCTTTGTGCGCCCCAAGACTTCTCTTGCGAGGGTGCAGCTGACGCTATAAAAACAAGCCGACGACAGAAGGCGCCGTGATCCGCCTCCTGGTGATTTTCTCTGGTATGGTTTGAGTAGCCCGGGCACCTACTCCACTTGGGAAGGAGACACCTAAGACCCCATTTCGCGCGGAGAAATTTGAACAGGTGATGGAGGCATGTCTGGATAACTCAGGGTTTTTGAGGCGATCCCCTGGGTGGGTATACACGGATGAGGGTTGACTTGGAGCGAAGAAAGAGCCACCATAACTACGCAGTGGTACTTGCAAAAGAAATCCGAGGCATGAGTACTCTTCTTGTAAAATGAGTCATCTTTTCTGTACTTTTCTTTGATATTGTGTCAAAGCTAGATAGCTGCATACGCAATTATATTCTGATGCAAAAAAAAGGCACTCAGCCTAAGCCACAGTATAAACGGGTGTGGCGCCATCTAGGCATAGAAAACCTCCAATAACCTCCTTGCGCCCAAGCCATACAGCCGCTCATATGTCCAATAGGTACCCTGAAGCGCTACCATATTACCTACTCCAACCTCTTACGTACACACGAGATCGTGTCGGGAACCTAGACGAAATAGAGGGCCCGTACGTCCACAACACTCTGTGTCTCCATTTCCAACATAAATTGATTTATTAAACTATATGAAGAGAAAAGAAATCTCTAGCTACTACTAACACGAACTTATAAAGTTTGGTCTAATTCATGAATCCGCTGACTATTAACTTTCCCCTAGGCCTAATACTTGCTACCGAGCCAAGTATTATCAGTATTGAAATGTATAAGCCACAACTTAGTTCGTGGACTTATTGGTAGAGAGAAGCTTATGCAATAATGGAGGATAAAAGGATGTCAATTCGAGTACTCTTCTAAACACAGGCACCGGACTTCTTTTAATCCCAATAGATAGCCCGTGCAGGATCTCCTATTAACAGCAGTAAACAACGCTAGCACAGGGTATACGCAATCTCCGTTCGCCAAACACCAGTCGGTCGGGACTACTAATTATCGAGCCTAGTAGGATTGACATAGTGTATCCCAACACAGAAATCATAGAAAACTCAACAACCAAACCCTTCATCACTAACTGCCATTAACCATCACCTGACTTATCTCTAAACTCCATAATTTCAAAAATCAGGAGCCATTACACTATGTGATGTTGCTTCGACCTCCTGGCTAGTAGTGCCATTTCATCTATATTTGTCCATCATTCCCCTTTCAGTCTTGTTGTTATTATTCCATATTAACTCTTAGGTTTCCTCCTAAGCTTAAAAAGCAGTTAGGCCATAACAAATATATTCATGCTTCTTCATACTGCCAATGGGTTTACAAACACATTTCAAATTGCATCATGTTGAACAGCTGACAAATTGAGGCCTACTGAATTTAATGATGAGAACCATTGGGTATGGGATGACACATTTTCTTGTAATTGTTTCGAGCTTTACTATTTCACCCAGGATATGGTGCTCTGGATGTTCAGCATGATCAAAGCTCGAACTTGAGATATTTTGATCTTCAACATCAGTTATTTTGGGAGCCGAGGCGAAGATACTCTCTCCTAGAAACTGTTTGAGTTGGATATATAGCATCAAGATCGGAAAGAAGTAGAGATCTCATCATTACACTTTGTTGAAGTATCAGCCACTGAGCCTTAGAAGACATGTGATTTGATTTGTAAGCTGGACTAAACTAGGGTCTATAGAATGTATTGTAAATATAGAACTCAGTATCAGGATCTCTTGGGCCTTGGTTACTTAACTTGAACTAGAGGTGCTAAATCTTGGGCTCTTGATGGTAAAGAAAATATAACAAAAATAAAGACTTGTTTCTTGATTCTTGATTCTTGGGTATCTAGGGAATAGTACAAGACTGAAAGCTGAAGAGCTTTCGACATGAAGATATCTCAGCTACTTATACTACAACACTATCTGCTACAGACTACAGTAATCTAGTTCCAGTCCGATTCCTGTCGAACTCCTGAGAGTTACCTAGAATCTGATCGAAGCCCATTGAGCTGGTAAGAGTACAAAATACCATCCCGAAACATCTAGAAGCTAATTGCCAGAGTAGCTTAGAATTCCATCGAAGTAACTAGAACTTGTCTAGAGGGATACCAGCCGAAGCTAGGATCAGACTCTACCTCCATACCATGAATCTATCTATGACATAGCAGTAGCCATATAGTCTTAGAGCCAGAGGTTGGCAGGATAATATCTCCACCTCAGTCAGTCCATGACACTCAGTAGTTAGTACAATAACATATGCAATAAGCTTTAGGCACTTTCCAGCAGTACAGTTTTCTAACCATATCATCCTTCAATGTACTTTTACATTTTTCAATTGAACCAAGGTCTTCTAGCTAAAGATCCAGTACGGACTTTGATTCTATTCAATTCACTGGACCCCTAGTGTCTATCACATCGGAACCTGTCATGATTCATCGATTCAAATATCTAATAAATAATTTTATTCATATCTTTACATGTTAAGAGAGTGTGTTGGGGGACCATTACTTACGTTAAATCACAAGGTTCAGCCATCTCGCGGCCTTCTGCATCATAAGTGCTACTGATTGCGCCCACTACTCGATTTTCTGTGTTGAATACAACGTAATCGTATGGACCTGAGCCGTCTAGAAATTGTGGTCATCGGTTAGTACAAAGAATTTGGAATGCAACTAAATATCATGGATTATATTATTACCTATCATAGGATAATACCATAGTTCTCCGGTAATACCGTAGCGAAAAGCATCGAACACAATAGGATATTGATAATCTGGTTTATCGGGATGCATAAATTGTCTAGCAAACAGAACTTTTTGCGAGAGTTCAGCTTCTGTGTAGCTGGCACCATTTGGGCAGTTGTAGCGGAATTCGCGGTTCGGGTTAGGCACTGGTATCATCCCATGCACTCCTCTTAGCCCTGTTACTGGTGTTAAGATGCAGAAGAGCGTGGAAGCGCCGCTGATGGTGGAAAACTTCATTGTAGAATGTTCAGAAGTTGTATATACTCCGAATCCAAGGGCTATGAAAAGCTGAAATTTGAAGATTGAAGATTGATAAAAATGCAGTTCAGAATCGAAATGGCTGGTAGGTGATTTCAGGATGCACTTAATCTACACTCGTTTTTAGCTGAAGTGTGGCTTGGCAAGCTCAATCAACCGTGTTGGAAGTATGGAAATTATGAGGCATTTGCAATATTAGTTTAACCCATGTTAATTACTTCATATAACATCTTTCTGGGAACTGAAATTGCAAAGCCCCACTCGCCCTCAATGGTGAATGATTGTCCGAAAATAGGCTCTGTGGCTAATCATCGAGATGTAGGGGAATAGGATTGAACTCCTTATTGACATTTACATGCCTGACATATTTGAAGAGGGGATTCGGAGATATGGAAGCTGATTCCCCTCGTGTCAACGGCCAAGAATAACCACCGAAGAAGTTGGACAAAGAAATGTCTCAGGTCAAAAATTGGGACTGTCCATACATACGTGGGTTATTTGTTTCGGTCAGTGCTTCCATTCTGTATTTAGAACTGCAGGTTATTCTATTTCTAGCGCATGTCTATATTTAGAGATCAAGAGATCAAGTCAATCATGATCAGTGTATATAGTCCTAGAATTCCGGGAGAAATAGAAATCAAGTTGTTTTTACTGAGTTATCTTTTACTTTAATTACATACACTTCGCCTGTCACAGGTCAGGCTCCCAGTTACCTGACACCTCGACCTTCAATCCATCAGCATGAACAATGAACTTTCAAATTACTGTATAGGTCTACTCTCATTACAAGTGATAATGTCTTGCTCAAATATCACGAGGAATTTAGATAATTAATAGATAATATGGCGCACTTGAAATCAGTCCAAGACATTGTTTATATACTTTATCTGGGAAATGGAGTCACTGGGTGATTTGGGGCGATTTCTCTCCACTTCACGCTGTTCTACTAAACCCGCACTCAGCTCGACCTCATGCCCTTTGGGAGGCTACTTAGTTTTTTGACTGTCGGTAAATGGATCGTATTTGGGCAGGAAGAATTGTTCTATCTAATTGCGGTATTCGGGTTGTCGTTTGAAGGCTGACAGGGATCTGACTAAGCTCATTAGCGAGGCGCTTGGAGTAGAGGAAGAATGGGCAGAGGGAGAAAAGAAGGGGAGACAACGTTCTATGTATTTCGAGATACTAGTTAATTGACATTATTCACCGACTTCGTGACGGGCAGCTGACTTCGTGACGGCACCCAATTTGTATTACTTCGTGTTTTACCAACATTGACACTGCCAAGTGACTCAATGCGAAAATCACTTCTTCTACTGCTATTCTCTGGTCAGCTTCTTCGTTTGTTCCTGAAATATTCCGCCCATTTTATCGTGCGATATTTCCAACACTTACTGTTCCGATTAGGCCCTAGTCAACTTTGTCTTAGCTACTTGTGCTACAATATAGCCCGCTGTTCCAACTATTCATGGGTCAAAGTTAAGGCTATGTGTATTTTCGCTTCGTTATGGATTTTTGGATTGACACCTGAGCCTCTTGCAAAGTAGCCAGGCAAGCGGCTCATGCAGAAAAGTGTATATAAATGTAATGAATAGCCTCGCATAACTCGTCATCTAATTTGTATTATCTCAGCTAGCTAGTGCATTAGACATTAATTCCCGCCTGGACCTCGAAGCTGGCTCTGACCATACAAATCTTTGTACAAGAAATTAGGTAGTGGGGCCCAAGCTCCCGCTCCCGGCCGCCTTCGTTAGAAACTATTCATTATTCTGATTTAGCGCCATGAGGCCCATGCTGGTATTTATGGGAAGACGTGTACTTCAAGTAGGACGACTCAAGTTGACGTTTAGGATACTCGCCCTCAGATTTTATTTGCAAATACCACTCGAGCTTAACCCTTACGCCCTACAACCTCTTACGTGCATACCCACCACAGGGAAAAGCGTGAAAACCTGTGGCCATCCCCTTCTTTGGTGCCGAGACATGGTATTCCAAAAGCACCCCACAGGATATAATAAGGTGTGTTCAGCGCAGAATTAATGATGCTGCTAGAGCCGTCCTTCCTGTCCACCGAAAGACTCCTGCCTTTCTTCAAGAGACCGGGCGGGGGGCGGCTAGCTCATAGCTAGAACAGATACAGGACCGCCTTACAGTGCGAGTCGCATCGGCAGACCCACACCACTCTTTACGGCGGCGCTGGACTTCCTCCCGAATATTATGGACACGACAAAGAATATCTCCCGAACTTTCCACTGATACATTATGTTGGAAATGGAGACACGGAGTGTTGTGGACGTATAGGCCCTCCATTTCGTCTAGGTTCCCGACACGATCTCGTGTATACGTAAGAGGTTGGAATAGGTAGTATGGTAGCGCTTTAGGGTACCTATTGGACATATGAGCGGCTGTATGGCTTGGGCGCAAGGAGGTTATTGGGGGTTTTCTATGCCTAGATGGCGCCACACTCGTTTATGCTGTGGCTTAGGCTGTGTCGCTTACACTCGTACTTGTAGCGCACACTTCCCACACTTTTAGCTGTAGTCCGAACATGACACTCTTTTTGTCAACTTCTACTTTCGTCCCATGAATATTGCGCCCATTACATTGCGCGATATTTCCAACACAATACCACCCCTATGGAATACCAGTCGCGAGATACTTCTGCAGAATATCGGGGCTATAGGCTGAAAAAATGACGGTAAGGAATTCATGAGATGGCAAGCATCTCAACCACCTTTGAATATATTCGTTATCTCTGACGGTGCCCTTTTAGAGGGTAGAGCCGGGTCCGGATATGTCATCTATTGAGGCCTCACACAGAGAGTTGGGCAGGGGACCCTTCCTCTCGGAGAATCTGCCGAAGTGTATGATTCAGAAATAGCCGGGGCCACTGAAGGCCTAAGTGCCGCTCTCCATAATCCGATGGCCCGATTGGCCACAAATATTACAGTATGCCTAGATAATCAGGAAGCCGCCCTTCGCCTCCTCATAGATACTCCTACCCTAAGCAGCTCCTCTCGTATCGCTCACTTTCGATACCTTGCTACCAAGTGGACGCTGAGAGAATGCTGCCGCTTTTTCGAACCAGGTGTAGTAAGAGTGCGACAGTGTCCAGGATATGTCGGCATACCTGGAGATAAAAACGCTAACGGACTTGCTAAACAGGCATGCGCAGCCCCTACGCCCCCCTCTCTCCAACAATCTCTCGAGCAAAGCGAAACATTAGCTCACGGCACAAAGCCTTCATAGCCCTATACTGGTCCCAAAATTCTCCTAAACAATTCCAACAGCTAGGGATTTGTGCCAATATTGGGAGCTCCCCTGAACTCGAGAGCCTTAACTACTAAGTTCTTGGTCGCCTTATTGCAGCTAACTCAGGCCATGAAGACTTTGCTGACTACCACTGCCGCTCTCACTACTCGGACGCTCTTCTCATCTGCGCTTGTGGGCTAGAAAAGCCGCCCGAGCACTTTTTCCCTTGTCGAATCCATCGGAGTCGGTCCTGCCTTTGCAGCGGAAATAAACACCCAACGACGGGAATTCGCTGGATTCTAGGCTCCCCTGAGGGAGCCACAGCTTTTAGTAAACGGCTTCATGATGTCTGCTTTTTCACAGAAATATAAAGACGGCATAAGCCAGAACTCTAGCCACTCAAACTTTAAACTAAATTGGCTATGGCTCAGATTGAAAGAATATTGGTCTAGGTGATGGATAGCCTTCCTTTTAAAATAGATAATAATCTATTTGCTGTAGTGCAAAATAAAAGTCTTAGTGGGGGAGTACTTTTGGCTTCTTTCATTAGTTTGGGGTGCATAGTAGGTAGGCCTTGGCCCATTTATAACATGTCAGGCTTATTTAAAAATATCGGCATGTCGGGTAGTTTATATAGACTGAGCTGGCCCAAATGAGATCTTACGGTTGTTTTTTTTTAATTTTATATTAAAGTCCTAAGCTAAAGCTCTAGGTCCACTATCAGTACAAGACGGGTGGAGCCGGCGGAGATCACTGCTAACAGGCCCAACTCATTCCAACCGCGAGACCTGCTACAGAAAAAGTAGGAGGTAAATTATAACTCAGAAGACTCCACCTACTCCGACTCCGAAATCGAGACTCCATCCTTCAACCCTAAATTCAAGTACATAAAAGATTTCCTCAGAGAAACGACACTTCTCGCATCGATCCCTTTCGTGTCATGCGTTGTGGCAATGACTAGTTTATCTGATCCCCACTGAGAGCAGTGGATAAGTGAGCAGGTCGTCTATCAAAACAGCCGGTTTCCTGCGCAAAATTTTTGAAGCTATCGTGGCACTTGGGCCCGAGAAGCTTTTTAATAAAGTCAGCGTGGGACATTGACTTTCTGAGCCTACGCGTTTGTTGTGCGTGGTGATGACAGTGGACGAAGTGGGTTGGAGTAGTTTCCTTCCCGCAAGAGCACTCCATGGGATCGTATGGATTATTAAAACGGCGATGGTATGCCACAAAATTGCAGTGACCTGTTCGTGCTGCAATTAGTTTGCGGAGGAGGTGCCAAGAGAGAGAAAGTTCGGGTGGTTTGCGTCTCCGCACCTATAGGTAGATTTGGCGGTATTTAGGCGGACAGGCCTCTTCCCACCAACTGTCCAGCAATCTCTGCTGTCTACGATTCATGAGGCCTCGAAGATGTGCCAGAGTACTGGATCCTGGTTGCGTATCCGGGCTAGGCAATTCTCGAAGTGCTGCACGTGCCATGTCATCTACCTCTTCATTTTCTTGGATTACTGCATGTCCTGAAACCCACTTCACTGATATTTCAGCCTTATGGGATGACGCACGGAATATGCGTACATCTTCTAGGCTAGTTAAGGATGAGCCTGTTTGTTTGTTTTGTTTTGTTTTTTTTTATAATTATTATATTTAACGTC